ATTTACAAATAAGTGCTTCTTAACTGGGTGCTTGCCTAGGGACAGGTCCACATACAAGTTCATCCATCCTGTTAACAGAATTTTTTTCCATGTAGATGTAAGATTCATGGAAGATTGCTTCTGCAAAGTCAGAAACATAAAGAATGATTTCTAACAAGGTGATTTTACATAATGTAACATAATCTCAGGAGTGATATTAATTAATAGAAATTAATTAGAAGAAAGTTACAAGTCCCACCCATAATCTAGGGTGGGGGAATATACATGGCATGAACACAGGAAACTTTAGGGTCACTTCCATTTCTGTTGACCACTATTCACCATCTGGCCACCAAGTATTGATGCCCCTTCCTCATGCAAAATAAATTTGTCTCCTCCCACATTTTCCAAGTCTCAACCCAGTAGAGAATCAGGTCAAAACTAAAAGTTTAATCATTTAAATAAACTTTTGAGTTTGGTTGCAATCCTCTGTTGCATGATGGTTAGCTTCTAAGGTACAGTTCCTCTCCATCTTGTGATCCTAATCCCTGTAAAACTAAGAAATAAGTTATCTGCCTCCATTCAAGCTCAGTATAAATTAGTGGGATAGAGCAAAAATAACATCTAACATTACAGTTCAAACATGTACAGAATGGGGCAGGGGATATAGCTCAGTGGTAGAGCACTTATTTGGCATGAATGAGGCTTTGGGTTCAATCCCCAGCACCACAAGAATAAACAAAGAGCAGAAATGAAGAAGGAAAGAAGTCACTGGTCCATGGCAGTTCTGAAATCCAGCTAGGTAAATATTTGGTTTTGTGACTTGGTTTCAAGGGCCTGGGGGTAATTCTGTGTGTCTCTAGGCCCCTCCTCTGGGTTCTTGGTTTTGCTTTTTCAGTCAAAGTATATATCTTCAAAGGTAATAGCTGAGCAGTTACATCAGCATTATCTACCAATAGAATTTGGAATGACAGCCTCCTCTCATATCATCTTCTCTGTCCTTCTCAGTCCAAGATGGTAGTGCCTTCATTGAAACAATCATTTCCCAGTATCTCAGGAATTCTGAGATAATTTCTTCTCCACTTTGTCAACCTTCTAAAATGGTTAAAGCACACCATAATTCACTTAGTAATATCTTTATACTTTGGAAGAATCTGTGAGGTATTCAACCTTAATCTCTTGAAAAGTCATTTTTTTGTGATAGAATACTTAGCATTTTAATAATTTCTGAGGTTTTACTAAGTTGTAGAGTCACATCCTTGACTATTTCCCCATAACAAGCTTTTTCAATAGCAAATTGTTTAATATTTTGTTTTGTTTTTAAAAAAATCTGTACAAACTGAAAATTTTCAAAATCATCAAGAACTCCTTCCTTTTTAAAATTTCTATAGTCATCAAGAATCAATAAGGCAGCACCTTCAACTCTTTCTTTGAAAATCTAGCTAAATATTTGGTTTTTCAATTCAACTTCAAGGCCTATCAGCAAAGTCAGTTAAAGGACCACACATCACTGGCAAATCTTACCCTCCATATAACTGTAAGAGACAATGTTTCTAAACTTTATGCCACTTTTTAGCAAGGATCCCACTTTCTCCAATTTCCAGTAACATGCTTCTTACCTCATTTCAGTCCTCACCGACAATGTCCTCACTGTCTAGAATTCTGCTAACAATCTGCCCAGGCTATGCAGGTATTCTTTTATCATGTTCATCAAAATTTCTTCAGGATGGTTCCAAAGACACTCTCATATTTTTAGAGATTATCATTCTATACCATGTAACAAATGACCACCACACTGGAGGCTTAACAACACATACTTATTACCTTGCAGTTTTTGTAGGTTAGGAGTTCAGGCAAAGCTCAGCTCTGCAAGGTTCCAATTGAGGTGTTGGCCGGGACTGGGATTCTCATCTGGAGGACTGAGGAAGAATTTGCTTCCAAATTCACTCAGGTTGTTGGCAGAATTCATTGCCTATGGCTATAAGTCTGAAGGAGCTGGCTTCTTACTAGTTATTGGCGGGAGGCCCCCCTCAGCTCCTTGCCATTTGGCCTCCTAACACGGACACTTAACTCTTTCAAAGCCAACAGGAGAGAAAGTTAACAGGAAAGACAATTTAGTCCACTAGAGTTCGCCTTCTAGAAAGACTAGTGATAATGCCATGTAATGTAATCATGGAAATAACACCAGTTACCTTTGCCATATTCCATAGGGTGCAAAGTTAAACTTCCTACTCATTCCCAAGGAAAGTATATGCAGGAGTGAATATATGAAAATGAGTGTTACATGCTTAATTATGTACCCCCCAAAATATTCACATGTCAAAGCCCTAACTCCCTGATTTCAGAATGTGACTGTATTTGGAGAAAAGCTGCTAAGGTCTGAATATTTATGTTTTCCCCAAATTTGCATGTAGAAACATATTCACCAGGGTGATAGTATTAGAAGGTAGGGTTTGAGGGAAATGTAATGTTCTGGAGGTTTTGCCTTAGTGAATGGGATTAAGGTCCTTATATAAGAGGCTCCAGAGGACTGGCTTGCCCTTCCTTCTTGTGGGAACAAGTGAGAAAGCTTTTTTGAAGTAGGGATCAAGCCCTCCCAGACATTAAATCTGCTAGAACCTTGATCTCATTCTCCCCAGCCTCTTGAACTGTCATCAATAAATTTGTAGCTATATAAATTACCCATATTTTTGTTGTATCAACCCAAATGGACCAACACATAAGGTTCTTAGGGAAGTGATTAAATTAACATGGGGTCATTAAGGTGGATCCTGATCCAGTATGACTGATGTCCTTGTCAAAAGAGACGATGAGACAGACAAGTAGTGAGAAGACCCTGTGAGGCAAAGGGAGAAAACAGTCATCAACAAAATAAGAAGACAGACATTAGAAGAAATCAACCCTGCCAACACCTTCATCTCAGACTTCTAACCTGAAAAACTGAAGGAAAAATAAATTTTTGCCTTTTAAGCTGTCTAGTGTGTGCTATTTGTAGGGTCATCCTGAGTCACCTTGGGGTCTCTTCATGACCACAGGGAATGATATTGGGCTTTAAGATAATGTACAATTTTTTCGTTCTTCTAATGTGGCTGTGTGCACTGGAATTTCTAACTATTGAAAACTTTTCGATTTCAGTCTCTCTGGAGTCTTAGTCCATGTGCTTATCCTAGGACTATATTGATCTTAGATTTTTTATTCATTATTAAAATAGCACTACACTAGTATTCAGATTTCATTTTGCCTATTCTGATAAAAACCAGCTTGAGAACTCTGGAAAAGTTTTTTAATCTCTGGATTTTTGTTTCTTTGTCCCAAAATTAGGAGTTTGAACAAAATTATTCTAATTTCCTTTCTCTCAGTAACATAAATCGTAACAGTAATGCAATTTTTTTGTTCATCTCTTTGCTTCTATTTTTATCCTCATAAGGAAGACATAATAAGACAATTCTATGTTATGGAAATTTGTCTTACTTGATAATTATTGAAAAATATTTCTCATAATTAAAAGCTAAACATTTATTTGCTTTAAAAAATAAATCTTGAGACTATTTCTCCTGCATTAAAAAGATGTATGACAGTTACATTTTGTACATTGCCATTGTTACTCTCAATTACATATCTTTGAGAAAGAATGAAGTTAGAAATAACAGATTGACTTTTTCATAATGTTTTTATCAAGGCGACAGAGGCTTCCCAGTTCATTTTAAGAGAATTAGTTTTTTTTTTTTAATTTGAACCACAATGCTGGCTTTTACCTTCATGTTTTCAAAGATGAATTTAATATTTCTATGATGTTTTTTCGTACTTGTATAAAACAAGTAACAAATTACAAAATGAAAATAAACTTCTTATGTTTAAATCCCAGGGACCTCATCTGTATTTTTATTGCTTTGGATCTTTTCATTCACTTATAAGGGAGTTTGAACCCATGCATAATCATTTATCCTCACACCTGTATTCTGAACTTGCTGCCATAGTTAAAATTATAATTATAACTCTCTCTTTTACTATTAAAAATTAAGCCACGAAATATACTACAACTCACTTTCTCCCATCATAATGACATATTTATTTCCTTTAGGCAATGGCTCAATATTTCAAGTCAGCATGAGTTTAGAAACTTCCAGTATTCTTTTAATTCTTAGTTATTATTTGTCCTGTTCTTCTGTCTCCACCTGGTTCTTCTTCCCAAAGAAGAGTGTCAGAACAGAACTCAAACAAATAACTTAAAAGGCAAGGTTTCTAAAGCTCTGCCAGGCCAGCAAGGGATGCTACACTCATATGAGCTCTCTGATGTATGAGTGACAGGCAAGAACAAAACTGGCATTTTTTTTGCTTAACTATTCAGGCCCATAGGGGGCAGGATTCCACCTGGCTGGGATCTTCCAACTGGAGTCAAGTCCAGGGCCAGCCTTTATGAAATGAAATGGGCTGCAAGGGAACAGCCAAAGTGACAGCAGATTTTTTGTGTGTTCAATGACCGTATGGTTTTCATTATCTTGTTCTCAACGAAGAATTTATCCAAAGAACAACCAAATGAAAGCAATGTGTAATCCATGTCAACCCATCCTTGGATGAATGTGCCACATTTGCTCCATTATCTAGTGGTGATTATCTAAAGATGGGGAAAAGGGAGAGGAAGGAGTGGGAAAGTGAAGGTAGTTGAAAAAGGAGGTACAGTAAGAACAAGAGCAAAGAAATGTGTCAGCCACTCAGCTGCCTCATTATGTAGCTTCCCACACTCACTGAAGATGTAATTCATCCTGCAGGTGCAAACATTGTTGGCTTTCGCGTGGACTCTTGACGGATGGACCGGATGCAAGTTTCCTTACCCCAGATGCTCTTTAGGAACACAGGCAATGAGATAGGGGATTGTGTGTGCACCTGAATCAGCACATTCACTGAGTCTTTTTGTCTTATTTCTTAAAAAAAAAAAGAAAAAGAAAAAGAAAAAAGATAGTGCTGTGCACAGAGCAAAAAAAAAAAAAAAAAAAAAACTAGGCAGAAGGCTTTTTATTTTATTTTTTTAAATACAGAAAAACAGCCAATCTAAACACCTTTTTGAGTCATGTTTTCTAACTGCCTCCAAGGTAAATATGTCACTACTGCTCTGACTCTGCATCACCCAGTGACACGTTAGTTAACAATTAACAGATCACATGACAATATTATACCCTATTTAAAATTATCCTTGTGATTTCTACAAGATTTCTAAGAATTGAAGAAGGAATTTCTACTGTAAACTGAGAAAAAAAAAGAAAACAACTTCAAGTCATTTGAATTGATAGCACATTAGAAATGGGAAGATTCATGCTGAGTCCATGTTCCTATATCCTCTCCCTGCTCACTTGCTTCCACCAACTTCCAGGATTCCAAGATTCCCAAACAAAACTGGCTCTTTTCGGGTTGAAGTTCCATTGACTCTTGGCAAAATATAACTTCCTGGTTGAAAGAAAGAAAAAAAAAACTTATGAAAAAGCTCACAAGGCTTCTTAGACATCAAATGGATCTTACGAAACCACATTTTGATGAGCTAAGTGTAAATGAATCAGAAACACATGGATTAAATTTCCCTTGAAATACACATGGGTTTGAAAATTAAGGAAAAAGTGTTTAGCCAAATGTGTTTTGGGTTTCCTTGAACTGAAAACATTTGAAAAAAAGTTGAGGCATTTGCTAAACCCTAATATACTGTTGTGTTTGCTCAACCCTCCTCCAAATCAATTAAATCTCCTAGAGGCTTCCTCCATTCCCTTGTGGTTTGTCTTGTCACCTCTGCTTTGACACTTTATAGACCAAACTAAATTTCCATTAAAAAATGTTGCTCATCAACTTAAAAATGAGGTAGCTATTAAAATGGCCAGCAAATCGGAGACATTAAGGGATGGAAAGCCCCCATTAGGTCATGTGTTCTGTCCTGAGGGTTGCAGCACATGCACTCAGAGCTTTCTAGTACTTATCCAGCACAGTTTTAAACATCTCGAGTGACAGGACTTCCACCTCCTCCCTCAGGAGAATATTCTGCATTCTAATAGGTTTTGCCATTAGAAACTGTGCCTAAGTGTATAATAGTGGTACCGTGGTGTGTCTGGGATCTGGGGAAGGCATATGGATAACTATCTCTTTCGAGATGCTACTGTAACAATCACCTATAGTAAGGGTTGGAGATTCACTTTAGCATTTCCAAAAAATATGTTATATGTGCACTCATTTTCATTCAGAGAAGAATCTTTGTTTAATGGTGTAAAATTATATTGTCAGTGCAAGATAAGACTGCAATAAACAAAAAAAAATCAATATAAACTCTGGTAACTCATTAATACATTAAATTACCTGGTAATTTTATTTGGCTATTCCTTAAAAGTACATGACTCTGAAAATCTTATGATTTTTACAATCAGAAAATGTTGTAAACTGGTACTGACCAAAACCTAAGCGCATGTAGGATTTGCATTCCTAGTTTATTAAATATCTTCTTCCTGAATCACTTTCCTTCAGCTTTCGATATATATATTTTCTTTAAGCCTCTTCACAGCAAATGAACATATTTCTCATTTCTGTTGCTCCTCGGGAAAGTAACATATTTGTAAGGAAATAGCTATTCATCTTTCTCAATAGATAGCAGAATCTAGCTTTCAAAATAACTAACATGTTTTCAAAGGTCTTATGGCAGAGTTTACATTAATTTGCCCTCCTTCTCATTCTACTTACAAATGCGTTATAAGGCACATAATGACTTACATGGCCTGTCATACTGCTACCACAATGACCTTTTCAAGATTCTGCATTGTGAACAGCTGACAGGCATACCTCTTCCGTGCCAGTTATTGCAACCTATAAAGCTTAACCAATGAAAAGGCAGGAAGAATCAGGTAAGGAGAAATGGAAAACAGCATCATCCTCCTGATCTCTCTTTTTAATGTTTCCAAGATCTGGAGAGAGGTTTCCCCCAACCTTGTCATTTTCTTTCAAATGACCGTTTTCTTCTCCTAACCCTGTTCCTTATATTGTCTTGCCTCCCTATCCTACTCATTTCACTGTCAGTCATTAAAAATGAGTCTCCTGTTGGGGTGTGGAATTCAGATCTTGGTATCCAAGTTGTTATTCCCTCCCCATCTCATTTTGTCTTTAGTTTTAAGATGGGCAAGGAGTAAAGATTGAGTTGCATGAATATTTTCAAAAATTCTACATTGATTGGATTATTACCACACTTACTATTGTAATTGGATATGAAGTGCCCCCAATGGCTCATGTGTTGAATGCCTGTTTCCTAATGCATCTGTGTTCAGACACAAGGCTTTTAGGAAATGATTGGATCACAAAAACACTAACCTCATCAGTGTATTAATCCATTTGATGGATTCATAGTTTGAATGCACTACTTGGAGGTGATGGAAACTAAAGACAGGTGGGGCATGGTTGGAGGAAGTAGGTCATTAGGGGTATACCTGTAGGGAATGTATCTTCCCCTTATCCCATGCCCCAGGTCTCTGCTCCCTGGTTGCCATGAGATGAGCATGTTTCTTTCATCATGCCTTTCTTTTCTTTCTTTCTTTCTTTTTTTAGAATTTTAGTATTTACTTATTTTTTAGTTTTGGGCGCACACAACTTTGTTTGTACGTGGTGCTGAGGATCGAACCCGGGCCACACGTATGCCAGACGAGCGCGCTACCACTTGAGCCACATCCCCAGCCCTTCACCATACCTTTCTACCACATGTTTGACCTTCCACTCATGATATTCTGTCTGGCCTCAGGCCCTGAGCAATGGAGTCATCGGATCATTGACTAAACCCTCTGAAGTCATGAGCCAAAATAAATTTTTCCTCCTTTAAGTCGTTTGGGTCAGGTATTTGGTCAAATTTATGAAGAGCTGACTAACAAACTTACTTTAAACAAGCTTCCTTGACAATATTTTAAATACTATGTAAAACTGAGGACTTGCCATTTGATTACTATGACCTTCATACTATGGTATTTATTATTAGCAAAAAAAAAAAAAAAAAAAAAAAGCTGGTTCATTTTCAGTGTGAGAGAAATTGGATCAAAATGTGAAGTGGCTCTACCTGATTGATTATATTATTATTAGAGCTTTGGTTTACCATGACCTTGTTCAGCAAGATATGTGGCATTCTTTTGGGGGTGGGTAGTAGGGAGGGAACCAGGGATTGAACTCAGGAGCACTTGACCAATGAGCCACATCCCAAGCCCTATTTTGGATTTTATTTAGAGACAGAGTTTCATTGAGTTGCTTAGCACATTGCTTTTTTGCTGAGGCTGGCTTTGAACTTGCGATCCTCTTGCCTCAGCCTCCAGAGCCTTTGAGATTACAGGCCTGTGCCACTGTGCCCAGCTGTATCATTCGTTTTTTTCCTTTGATTTTTACCTATTAGTCAGTTCTGTGGACTTCTAATAAGCAGGTTACTCTGTTCTGAATTTCTTCTGACGATTCCTCTCCCTCTCTGGCTTAAAGGGACTGTTGTTACTATATAACAATTTGGAAGTTTTATTTTTAAAAGTGGATACTGCACTTTTTAATGTTTGAACTGGTTTAAATTCACATCAAATTTTGAGCAGGGGAGACTAAAAACATACGGTATTGCCATTTAATAGCAAAAGGGCCCAAGAAAAGGGAGGAGGACTCTGCTTTCTTTCTTTATTTAACATTATTTAGTATTGACTTGATTCCAAGCTCAGTGTAAGAGCAATATTCTGAATCAAGTCACTAAGATCCAAATTCTGCCCTGGATTTGTTAAGTTTCTAAGTAAAAGAATATTTATTTTACCATCTATAAATTGCTTTGATTTGAGTCTCATGTTCAAAAAGAAATAATGGGCTCAGCTTTTTCATGTAGAGTTGGATTTTGAGGTTATGGTAAGTATATGATGCACACTGCCATGTTATGGCCACTCGCTTATTTTCTTCATTATTGGCAAAAGTGAAACCAGATTCAGTAATGCATGCAGGGAGATGCCTTCAGCTTACACAAACTTAGTGAAGTCTAAAAATCCATCAGATGGAGCTGATGGCAAGGCCATGCTCAAGGAAGTTCAAGTGTGCCTATTTGCTTCTCTCCTTCTATAATGGGTCCTTTAAATAAAAGTCACTCTGTAGTTCATCTTATTAAGCACATCAGATAAGTCATTGTCTGAGAAGGAATTCAGATTCAAGATTTGTTTCATTTAAACTGCTTTTTTCTTGAGCTTACAAAATACATGTTATTTCAAAAGGAGATATTAATAAATCCTTGAAAGCCAACATTTTCTATGCTATGATCATTCCATAGACATTGGAAAAAAAGAGAAAATATTTATAAAGCATTTAGTGATGAGTAATTCACAAGGAAATAATTATAAATACAAGTCAAACAAATTGGCAATTGTTTGCATTTCAAATTAGAAATCACATGGAATGAAGCCTTGCTCTGATTTGCTTTATGAGCATTTTAGAGAAAGCTCTTCCTACCTACATGAGACTCACATGGAGGTCTAGCTGATAGAACATTAGTCTGACAGTCTGGATTTCATAAAGTCTCTTCTGGCTCTATCAGACCTCACTGTGTGGCCTGGTGGAATTTACTCTGTATTTTAGTTTCCTCATCAATGCAAGAGGGAATTAAAAGAAAGAAAAAAAAATGTTAATGGTATTAATGGCCAAGTATGCTAGCAACTTTTTAGGATCAACCTATTTTCTCTAAAGCCACTGATGTCCTAATGTGCTTGTATGTTGGCATACTTTCTCCATTTTAAATAAATGTTTTAGACAATCATGAGGATCATGCATGCCTATTTAAGAGAAAAGGAAATTAAGTTGAGGAGATGACAAGACTGACCCAGGGCCACCATCGCTCTCAGCACAACTGGATAATGCTTTGCTTATAGCAGTGCTCAACAAATATTACTTAATACGATCCTATGATGTTCAACCCTGATTAGCCACAGACAGACTTTCCTTGCTTATTAACTCCTTAATTGACACTGTCAGCACCATCTGCCTTCCCTAGCCTGGGTAGAGCATGAGAGAGGAAAAAGGTGAAGGTTTTATAACTGTTCTCAAAAGCCATGCTCAAAAGCACAAGGTCCTCCAACTTAACTCTTAATTTCCTTAACTGTATTTTCCCCTAATGGATTGAAGAACAGAATAAAGAGAAGCTAGGGAGGAAGAGAAGTTAGTCTGTGGAGAGATTCATGCCAGTCCTAACTTTAGTTTGAAATTAGATAGTGTCCCTCACACAGGCAAACCAATGTTTAAGTATGTTGTATGAAAATGCATGTCTGATCAATACAGTGTGTGATCATCTTTTTGACACATGTATTGTCAGCTGATTTGTGCATAGAGTCATAGAAATTACTTTCAAGAAGTCAGGATAATAGTCCCAGTTTACATGAGAAATCCAGACTCACAATTGTTATCCCCACATCCTATTAATATTGTCCTAAGTA